TAGGATTCCCTCCCATAGACAAAGCAGGATATTCATTCCTGGCACACAGTATTTCCAGCAGCTTCTGCTGTTCTCTCTAAAGATTTCCCCTCTTAATTCTCTTTCAAGGAGAGTTTTCTCAACATATTGCACTGATGCCAATGAGTTCAAGCAAATACTGGCAAGATCAAACCTGAATCAGGGTGGTGTCTTGTATTGCTGAAATGACTTTCTGGTATTATCTGGTGTTTTGAGTATCAGTGCCCCTTAGTTCCTTCATTACATGTTGGGGGATGGGCACTGCCCTGCGTCAGCCCGTCTGAGACTCTGGGAAAGACCGCACCAGCGATAGAGTCAGGGGCTGTATCAACTGGAATTTGAGTCTGTTCTCTGGGAAACTGAAGTAATTATCTTCACTCGGGGTCCAGGGACCTGAGAGGCAGCATGATAAGTTGGTTGCACTGGTTGGTTGCACTAGGAGGACATTTTAATCAGCTTGACTATCACCATGACAGCTTATACTCAGATATACTATCAGAAGGAGAAAAACTGGATCAGTCACACTGAAAAATTAGGAGCAAAAGAGCTGTCATGTTCTAGATTTTTTTTTTAAGAAAAGAGAAAAAGCCTACTGAAAATTATCTGCATATTTTCCTTAATTTGTTTTAAAATCTAGGCACCCATTTCTTATATAATCAAAATGCTAATTTTGTACATATTTCCCCAAACTAAAATTGTAAAGGAGAGCTAGTACTAGAAACACTTTACTGTAACTCTACAGGTTTTTTTTAGAATGATATTTTAAATTTCACGTTCAAGAGGGTTCAGAAGATATGCAGATTCATAGAAGTAAGAAAGTAATAAGCTCTGCTCAGGAGCAGCGGTGTGAGTGCTTAGGGTGTCTGGTCTGCCTCGGCCTGGATTGGAACAGGCTGCGAGCAGGGAGGAGAAGCTGCGCGTACTGTGAGAGCGAAGGTGGGGAGTGCTTGTGAGCCCGTGTCTGAGTGGGTCCCTGCTCATGGTTCACTCCTGAGTGGCCACCTCCCTCCTCTCAGCAGCCTCCACCCTCTGATGGTTGCTTGTGCTGCTGCCACTGAAACCTGTGTGGCTGGGGTGCTGCCTCTTCACCTCCCTGTTGACAGAGGTTGTTTACTTGATCAAGGTTTACTCAGGCACCCCTGAAATTTTCCTCTCAGCCTCAGCTTTGGGCCTTCCGTGTTGGTCTCTTCATTGTTCACTTTTAGCAAGAATCCTGCTAAGTAGGTTTAGCTAGACTCCCATCCCTCATCCTCTATATCCGATCACTCCGGATACCTAGTCAGGTTCCTTATCCGCCACCGTCCCCCAGGTGTTGCCTGATCACCATGGCCTGCCTTTCTCAAGAATCCCTTTTGACCAGTCTATCCGGAATGCCCCCATACACCTGATGTTTTTCAGTAATTTTCTATCCACCGACTTCCCCCTCCCCCACTTGGCTATAAATTCCCACTTACGGCATACAAAGTTGAGTCGACGCACTCTCCCCCACCCGAAGACCTCATTGCAGTGGTCCCTACACCTATCAAGACGGTCTCTAACAAGTATTGCATAATTGTTTCTTTACCAGCTCTGGCTGTCTTCCTGGCTGCTGCGGGAGGCTCCGCCCTCACCGCTGCCAACCACTACATCCCGTGGGACGCTCTCTGTACATTAATCTCCGCCACTACTTTCTCTCTTCTGTTCAGGCACCAGACTTCAGTGAAATGGAATTTGAAGGAGAGCCTGGAGCTTTCTTCAGTATGGGACCAGTCAGTGACTCCCAGACTCAGAGAAATGTGCAACTAAGTGTGGCATGTGAGAAAGCACTCATGAGAGAGCCTTTTTGAATGAACAAGGCATACCTGGTCCCAACATCCTTCTAAGGTGTCTCCCTTTGGCCACATTGAAAGATCCTTTGGGGAGAGACTGACTTTTATACATCAACGCATTATATGGTTGTGGATGAATGTCTATAGCTTTGTATTAAGCTCTAGAAGCTATAGAAGATGGTCAAGTCCGAATCATTGAGCACTTGCTGGTTTTAAGTGGGTGAATCTATCTTTTGCTTTTGGTGAAATAACTAAGCCAGGATCCCTAGCTGTGAGTTAGGAAGTCCCCTCTAAACCTTACCTGCCCCTCCCAGCTTGCTCATTACACCCTGCACCCCCATCCCCCATGTTGGTTGGATAAAACACTTTTGGAGGCAGGTCAACACAGTGGCTTAAGACTCTAAATAGGAATGCTTTTGGATAGTGGATTTATTTTGATTTATATAGAGAAATGAATAAAGTTCGTTGTTGTTTATTTTTAATTTTCATAAAATCTACTTTTGGCTTTCTAACTCTGCTGTGCTCAAGCCCTGTGGTTCAGGCATTACTCATGTCCTAGCTGGCTCACTGCAGTCATGTCTTGGCAGACTCCTCCCATTCATTCATTCATTCATTCATTCATGTATTCTATGGATTGTCAATGTATTAAGAATTCAGATTTTCTCATTCTCCAAGTATCTGGTAAGAAATAGAGTAAGGTAATTTCTCAGGTTGTCCAGCACACTCTGGCGTTCCCCTATTGCTCTACCATTAAAGATAAATTGGGCATGCTACTCCACAGTCTACTAGGCAGCCTGTGGGTATTTCTTGGGTAGTTCAGCATAAATTTGGCTCCAGCAGGGACTGGAGCTGACGTTAGCACCATCTCATTTCTGCTGCTATTGGCTTCTTGGGGGAAAGGTACATAGCTGAACTCACAGAAGAAATCAGTGAAAATAATTTCAGTTCCAACCTCTACACAAATACCTTTTCCTGGTACTGTAAATTGTTAGTCAAGTTAATAATGACAATGTTGCAATATTAACTAAACATTTATTAGCCAACTGCAATTGTTGAGTGTTAAGTGCTGTAAATACAGTCTCCTCTGTATGCACAGATTTTGCATCCATGGATTCAATGAACCTTGAATAGAAAATATTCTTTAAAAAGTTATATTGTTGCTGATGTATACTATGTCTACATAGTATATGTATATGTCTACAATAGTTGCATCTGTACTGAACATGTACAGACTTTTCTTCTTGTCATTATTCCCTACATAATATAGTATAACAACTATTTACATAGCAGTCACATTGGATTAAGTATTATAAGTAACCCAGAGATGATTTAAAGTAAACATGAGGATGTGCAAGGTTATATGCAAACACTGTGCCAGCCATTTTATATAAGTGACTTAAGCATCTTTGGATTTTGATATCCTCAGTGTGGTCCTCAGTGTGGGGGTGGGGATCCTGGAACCAATCCCCGTGGATAGTGAGGGGTGACTTTATTATTTAGTTACCCCTCACACCTGTTACTATTTCCATTTTTCAGTTGTGAGAATTGAGTGCGGCTGCTATCACGCAGGATTTACATTGAGGACTATGGCCCTCCAAGGGCAATGCTATTCTGTGATTTTTTTCCCACATCACCAGGGCCGCTTATACATCCCTGGCAGTGCACTACCAGCTTCCTGGCCTCTTTCTAAGGCGTACTTAGGTGGCACCTACATTGAGAAGCCTGTGCCCATGGCAGCGCCCCGAGTTCTCCCCTGCCTCAACTGAGCCCCTTGCATTTACTTTCTCAGGTTGTTGGATGGGTCTCTCCGTAAACGGAGCTCCTCGAGGAAGTCAGGAAGGGAGGGGATGGGGCCTCCCCTCCCTTATCCTTTCCCAGCTCTCCCTATACACATCCCTGTTATCATTTTCAATTGACTGAAGAAATTGGTCTCTTGATCCTCACTGGCAAGGACCTCTGGTTTCTTTTTAGTTCTGAGGAAGTGTTCTGGGGAGAGGCAGTTATTTTACTCCCATTTGAGGAGGTCTTTGATTTCTTAGGGGAGCCAGAGGGCCTCCTTGGCCTCCCGGTTCAGAGGTAAACACTCCCAGGCTCGGCGCCTGAGGGCAGTCTGTCATTTTAATGAACCTATTTACAAGGTAGGAAGCAATTTTCTTAAAGTTGCACAAAGTTCTGCTTGGTCAAAGATAAGTGTCTCCCAGCTGAACCTTTTTGTTTGGATCTTGCCCAAGGCCTTTCTCTCTGCCGTCAGTGCTAGTCTACAGAAAGCCGAGAGGATGTTCAAGGTTCACTTCACTATTGCACAGCCTATTAGGAAGCTTTGTTTTCGGCCTGACTGGAAGGGCACGTTGGCCCGGCATTGGAGCTGTGGCCCCTTGCACTCCAGGGAAGCAAAAACAAAATCTTTCAATTGTTTGGAAAACAGAATGGTGGAAATAGTTCCCAATTACTGCCCAGTTGGTTACAATGGTACTTACACTATGCTTTATCATCAAAATAAATGTTCGCTTTCTATTGTATAGCTTCGGGCTGAGCCTCCATATATTTTAAGAGTTTTCTTCATATTTAGCTTCTCTTTGTTTTAAACTGCAATGGAAGCTGGTGTAGGGGACACCAATGGGAAAGGACATTATTTCCTTCTTTCTTTCATGATGGATGAAGAGCCTTTCATCTAAGTTTGAATCTGGGTTTCCTGATGCCTTTTCCCCTCAGGATGCTGTCTCAGTTTCATGCTGAACTGTGTTATGAAGAGGCGATTCCCGATTCCCGCAGGTAACTATGACTGGCAGGTTTCTTAGGTAGGAACCCCCCAGGTTGTTACAGTTCGCTGAGGTGCTTTTGACTTTTAGCAGAATGTAAATTAGCTTGGCTGTGGCTCTATTAAAAAGAAAAATCTCTCAAGCACTGCAAAATTTTGCTCTAAGGGGTAATTAAAGCTCTCAGATTGTGAAGCAAGAGGTGTACTTGTTCTTTGCTTTTTTATGTGGGAAAACCTTAACCTGCATGTCTTATGACCCTACCGTTCCAATAAAGTGATCCATACCTTTCAAAAGGTTACTTCATCAAGTGTAATTTTAATTTGATTTTTGTGACTCAAAGTTGAGCCTTAAGCTTGAACAAACAAACAAACGAAATCCCCAAACTCCCGCACATTTCTGAATTGAATTCTTTTACCTGGTTCAATGTTGAGAGAGTAGCTGTCTATTTCCAGATCAAGTTGCTGGGCTGCAGCAGAACAAAAATCCTCCAAGGCCCTGTGCACAGCCTTGGTGAGGTTGTACGACACCGACTCAGCGAACCTCATTTTGCTATTCACAATCACACTCCCGTTTCTGAAATTAAGTATTTCAAGTTGCTTAAATCCTGTAAGATTGGATTGTAGATATGGAACCAGCTGCAGAATAAAAGATGGTTTACTGTTAAGGCAGTTCTAAGCGCTCAGCTGCTGCTAATTCCATTTATACTAATTTTTCGCTCTCTGAGGCATAAATTTCCATTCCTGTTTATTTATTTGTTTATTTTTGTGTGTTTGAGTTTAACATGAGACCAGAACACCACTGTTTAATGATCTATTTGCTGTGATTATGCCCCATATTTCCACCTTTCTGTCTGTTTATTGAGATGGATGGGAAGTGGTTTTCTTCATAATGAATTGTGAGAACAGAGAATCTAAAAAATTCAGGCCAGTGGTATCAGCAAAGCAGCAATGCCAGGTTCAGTTTTCTTTTTTTTTTTAATCCAAGTAAATAAAAACATGTTCCAAATTGAGCTCAGGAGCAGACTGCCTTATGCCTCTGTAAATGGGACATCTATTTGGAAGCAACTGATTTGAAGTGACCCGTTGAAATAAACAACAGCTTAAACACCAGCTTGTCTGTTTATGCAGGATGTTTCACGGTCACAAATGCGGTGCAGTGGAAAGAGCAGAGAACTGGCAGTAGTCCGGGGACTGTCCCTAACTAGCTGTGTGAGACTTCCTCAAGACGCCTAACCATGGTGTTGTACCTCAGTGCCCTTATCTGAACTGAGGGAGAAAAAAAGTGGTTTCCTAAGGACCTTTCCTAAACTATAATTTAATAATATCAAAAGGATGTCCCCAGCACTGTGCTTCAGGCTCCCACACCTGCCTCTTGTGAGCCACAGCCCTCCTTGAGATCCCTTTTCAGAAATGTTTGAAACTCAGCAATGTCTGCCTTGTTCCTGGCCCTGACACTGAGTCACCCCTTCCTGCGCCGGCACCTGTGAGCCCAGGGAGCACACAGATGCAAGCTGCAACCTCCCAGGCTTGGCCCAGACCGGCTTTTATTTTGTCGCTGTCCCCGTCCTACCAGAATTCTGACTCTTACACTGACCTACATTTCCATATATTGCCCTAACCCTCAAGGTTACTGTGAAAATAAAATAATAAAACGAAATTTTACAAGAAGCTTGAAACTTCTTTTGTCAATCTACTTTCTCATGATTTTTCCTACTCATTCTTTGTGTTAGCATTGCTTTGGACTCTGGCAGGAATTCCCGGTCTTCACCTACTATGCAAATGACTAACTGCTCCTTTCTCCACAAGCCACCTCCTCTTTTTCACAAAAAAAGAGGCTACCTAGTTAGAGACCACATTTCCCAGCCTCCTTTGCTGTAAGGTGTGGCCATGTGACTAGTTCCTACAAATGGAATATGAATGGAAGAGACGTGGGCAACTTTGGTATCACTTACTTAGGAAATTGCTTGCCCTGGGCTTTCTCTCTTTCCCCTTCTTACAAGTGGCAACAGGCTGGTACCAGGGATCCGGCTTTGACTGTGTGAATGAGGACATACCTTTGAGGTTGGCAGAGTTACAAGGTGGAAGGAATATGGATCTCTGGATAACATTGCAGGGCAGAGCTGTCCCACCCACCAAGTGAAAGAAAAATGAACTTGTATCATATTTAAGTTACTGTATTCTTGATCGCTTCATTATGGCAGCTTAGCAGGTACCCTAATGAACACACCTGGTCCAGGTCCACCGGAACTCCATTCCCTAAGATTGTCCCAATTATCTACTCACCTCATTGTGGGTTGGTGGGGGAGGTTGGATGGTACAAAATCTTCCTTTAAAGATCACTTGAAGAGTAGTTTTTATGTGGCTTTAATTTATATAATGATTTAACTTATATGAAGCTTACAAATACTTTTTCTGTTATTTTAGGAAGTTCTGCATTCTTTGTTGACATGTATTGTGAACTTGACTTTAATAGACATTGTGAGGAGGTATCATATGGTTTAGCATTTCTTATAGTACATGCATTTCTTATTGCACATGTAGAAAAAAACAAATGTGAGCTTGGGGGATGTTTTATAATCAAAGATGTATGCAATCATGATAATCTCATTTTCTTTGTTAGGGATCAGGAATGAAGCCATTTAACCATTGTTTGTTTGTTTGTTTGTTTAAAAAGAATTTAACGGGAACTGAAAAAAGAAAAAAAAGAGTCTTTACACCTGAACTCTTGGCCTCCTCTGTGCTGGACCTTTCTAGCTTTGAGCCTGTTTTGGTCAGACAGCCGGAAAACAGCTTGTAACATTATAACTTAGTAAAAGTCTGCTCATATTGCTTCTAAATGTCAAGTTTAGAATTTGAGTGACTATGTATTATTCCTGGGAAAGTAAATTAGGAAGAACTATAATGAAAAGATTTTAAGGATAAGTTTGTTCCCAGGAGGCTGGCTGGCAGTGTCTGCTCATGTGTCCACCAGAAAACTCACTTTCCTGTTGGATCAAAATCCATCTCAACACTCTAGTTGAATGCCTTCAGCAACCATTGTGCCAGAGGCTTGTTTCTTCCAAGCTGCATTGCTCAAGACAACCAGAGATTATATTACAAAGTAAGAACAGGAAAAGAAAGAAGAGACATGCAGATAATTGTTAGTGCCCGCTCACCAGCTGTGTGAACCGTTGCTCCAGAGCTTGGTACTTCAGAGAGCTCTTGTTGAACAGGTCATTGGAGAAGGGCATGTTAGCCACACGCAGGCTGAAGAACACCACCAGCTCTTGGCCTCTGGTGGTGCTGGTCATAGAGCTGGTGGTGAAATACTGCAGAGCTGGGACAGGAGTGGTCTTCTCCAAGAAGCGGTCTGGGGTGGAGACATCCACACTGAATCCTGGAACCTCAGAAGAGGCGGGAGTGTTAGATAGATCTGTTTCACCCAAGTCTGGGACTACATCTTGGTTGACTGTGCCCAACCTGCTGTCTTCTGAAAATGCAGGCAAATGTGAAATTTCCACAGCCGATTGGCTGATGGCCGAATAATCATCAGTGGGGATGGTTAGCCCTGGGATTAGTAGCTTCTGGTCTATGGACACTATGTCTGTGGCACTTTGATCAGTCAGAGAGAAGCTGCTTGATGCAGTAAAGGAAGGTAGAGTGTCTGATAGGGAGGTAGAGGCCACGGTAGGTGGAGACAGAGAACTGTCTGTGGAGAAAGCTCCTGAGACCATTCGTGATGTTCAAGCAGTCCCCCAAAGAATAGAGAGAAAAAATATCCAAAGTTAAACTTAACTTTTAAAAAATAACATTTAGGTACATTGGTTATGTTAATGTCATATTTTGAAAAATAAGAAATTGGTACAAAAAGGGCAGGCAGCCCTGTGTCTAAACCTAGGGAGATGGCAGGTGGGTCCTGGATCCACTTTATTCAGGCCCAATACTTCAGATGTATGAGACTAAAAGATTGCTAATTGCCTAGAATTGCTGGAATCACACCCAGCCAGCCAGTACATCTAGGAACCAGGTGGTAAAAGCTGACTAGGTCACCCCGTGACACCAAAACATGGATGGCACTGACTAAATTGGATGCCACATCCCTTCCTGGAACTCCCAGGCAGGTGGCTGTGCAGTTTTGGTTCAGAAATTCTATTCACCTTCCAATCATACAAGCTTGCAGCTTCTTCAACTGAATTTTTTGGGGGATTCCAGTTATCATACGTTCATAATTTTAAAAATTAAAATTTAAATTATGCTTTTCCATAGTTGTATAATCTGACTGAACAACTTGCCAATTTGCAAAATGATATTGAGAGAGTAAACATGTAGGCTACACACATAATTTGAACTTTATATTGACCATACAACTTGCTAAATATTTGATAATATTTAAGGGTTTTGTCATATTTACAGGATTATACCTTGGTAATTTCTACCACCATTTTGCATTGCTTTCTTGGTAAGTACATATTGAACTACTCAAGTCCACTCCCATTTGGTACCAAATTAAAATCATAAAATGTGTTTATGAGCTAAAAAAGTGGTTAAATGAAACTATCAGATAAGAAGATTGGTGACTTATTAAAATATACCAATAAACTTAAATCCAGAGTCACTGGCAATATTTAAGGCATTAGGTAGATCAAAATGCTTTCTGTGATTACTTTAGTGGCATTCTGGCAACTATGTGGGAAAGCTGCACTGAAATCTAAATGCTAAGCATGATGAATGGACTGTCTGGATGCAGATATAATCTTTAGACTCTCAGTCAGCTAATTTACTAGAGTGCAATCGCACAAACTGAAATTTCAAGTGATAAACAGCTCTGAGAGGTGGAATCATATTAGTTTTATTAGTTTCTTAAAATAAAACCTGCCTGTTGGTGAACTGTACCCAGATCTCAGAGAAGCACCCTCTTTTCTCTCACCTTGGGAGGGTGCGTAGGTGTGCCTACCCATATATTCACTGAACTGGCAGAAATGTTTCCTAACATCTAAGATCTCTCTTGATATAGGCTTGTAGTTTTATTCAAATCTCCATTGTCATAGACTGAATGTTTGTATTCTCCCCAAACTCAGATATTGAAGCCCTAATCTCCACCGTGAAAGTTTTTGGTGGTGGAGTTTCTGGAAGGTAATTAGGATCTGTGGGTGGAGCCCTCCTTAATGGGATTAGTGTTTTATAATCTCTCACTTTGCCCAGTGCGGATACAGCAAGGCGGCATTGGTCTGCAAATCAGAAAGAGGGCCCTCACCAGGAACCAAACCAGCTGGCAACTTGATCTTGGACTCCCCAGCCTCCAGAACTGTGAGAAATAAATTTCCATTGCTCAAGCCATCCAGTCTAACATATTTTGTTATAGCAGCCTGAGCTGAGTAAGACATCCATGAAAGGATCCGGGATGAGTAGATTTAAAGGCCTCAGGTGCTATCAATGATAGGATTTGAGTTCTTTGTGCTTGGGGGAAATGCTTGTGAATTTGCATCCTGTGATGTGAATGATCTCTGCTCCTCCAGATGGTAAGGGTCAGGGAAGAAGCTCAATGACAAACATCTTTGTTCTGCCCCTGGGCCAGCATTTCATTACTCACACCTTTCTCCCTACGTAGACGTTAGCCAGATTAAAATAGTTGCTCTCTTATGCCATAAACCAATAAAAATGAATTTCTAATTCTCTTTGTAGCATTTTAACATTAATCATTTACATTCACAATGAACCTGTCCAAGTTATTTTGCTGATAAGAACAGTTGGCTATTTAAATGTAGGGCTGCTAGATAAAATACAGGTTCCCATTGGAACATACTTATACTAAAAAAATTAATTGTTGTTTATCTGAAATTCAAATTTCACTGGGTTTCCTGTATTTTTCTTTGCTAAATCTTTAGAAACCTTATTTAAATATGATTTTAAAAGACTCCTACTCTCTCTTGACTTGATATTGAAACTACAAAGGCCATACTCAATTCTTTTGAAATAGAAATATCATCTAAACCTTACCACTAGTTATGAATGTATTTTAAGTAATTAAGTTTTCATCAGATTCATATGTGGAAATTAGGTATGACAGTGTCAAGAGTCATTTAAACACGAAGTTTTTGATGCTGCAACGGGAGAAGTGAAGCCCTAAAAGCCAAGGCCATTCATTTCATCATGAGGTTTGCAAAATAAACAGATTAGAAATAACTTGACTTTTTAGTTATTGTGTTCAAGTGTGTGTATATGTGGGTTCCCATGAGGGTGTGAGGTATGGTTATATGTGTGTAAGATGGAGGTGCTGGTTAGAAGCTCAGCTTTTGGGTGTAGAGTAAAAGGCTATTATGGTCACTCTCTCGGTGGAAGAACTATCAAAAAGCACAGGCCCCAGATAAGCAGTTTAAACTAAAGCAGATGTACTTGGTCTAGCTGAAGCCTAAAGTGAGACAAGCCATAATGGGTGAAGATGCGCTCATTGTGGGCAGCCAGAAGCCCCCCTAGTAGACAGAGGAAGGCCAAGTAGAAGAGGAGAAAGTTGTGAAGGATGAGTGCGGCTGAAAGGCTATTTTAAATTTTGCCACAAATATATAGTGTATATATACACATATATACACTAATCATAAACATCAAGTGGTCACCTATTTTATGTTTAAAAATCCAAAAAGAAAAGATTCCATAATCTAATTTGATCTTCAAGTGGTACACAGGGCCCTGGCTGGTGTGGCTCAGTGGATTGAATGCCAGCCTGGAACTAAAGTGTTGCCAGTTTGATTTCCAGTCTAAGGCGCATGCTTAGGTTAGAGGACAGGTCCCCAGCAGGGGGCGTGCGAGAGGCAAACACACTGATGTTTCTCTCCCTCTTTCCCTCCCATCCCCTCTCAAAAAAATAAATAAAATCTTTAATTAAAAAAATATACAAAAGAAAATGTATAGTATAACAGAAGCTGATAAGTGCTATGGAAGTAAAATGAAGCAGGATACTAGCTGGGCCTGCTGGGTTTGTAATTTTACATAGAGCGGCCCCTGAGAGCATAGTATTTGAACATGACCTGAAGGCGTTGAGAGAGTTCAGCCATTCAGCAAATGGAAATGAGAAAACTAAAGAATGTTGTTCAAGTCCAGGGACAGCTAGCTGGCATAGCAACATGGCTATAATGGAACTCTACGCTATCAATTAAGAGTGAGGGTGACTAAAGATATTTTCAAACACACAGTCTCAAGGAATTCCTCCCAGGAACCCTTTCTTTGAATTTGTCTACCTAAAATAATGGGGAAAACCAAGAAATAGGAAGAAATGGGATACTGAAGATAGGGAAATATCGAAGAAGATGGTGAAGGGGTATCTCAGGGAGACAGATAACCCGGGTATAAAAGGCAATGAGTTAAAATTAAGTTAGTCTCAAGAGACAAGACTTTGGCCATTGTACTGAATTTTTAACTTGACAAAACTACTGAAGGGTGTGCTGCACAGAACAAGAGGGTAAGCTCAGAGAGAGAAGGCCTGAGATCTAAGGATCAGGGACTTCAACTGAGGAGAAAGGCCAAGAAAATTCTAGGCATGATGGCAAAGGGAAGTCTCCGGTGACGGCTGTCCAAAAAAAAAATGTCCTAAAGAGTAGAAGTTGAGAGAGAAAGAGCGGGAGGGCTCTGAAAATTGGAAGCGATAAGTTACCTAATGTGAAAAATTACACTGGAAATTTTAATGGAAAATTTGGGGAGAATTGGCAATAAGTACAAAGAAAACTAAGCAAAACTAAGAAAAAAATCAAAGAAAACATTAACACCAGGAAAACAGAAAGGAAACATAATTAGAGCAAATAGGTCAACTGCAATATTTAATGTAAACACTGAATATTGATTTAATAATAGCCATTACCATATTGAGAGGGGATAGTATTACAAGAAACTTAAATCCTTGTTTAACATAATAAAAAGTCAATAAATAATAAAGAAGATGGGTGACTCAAAAGGTATATATTATTGCTCTAGTTGGTGTGGCTCAGTTGGCTGAGTATCAACCCCAAAATTAAAGGGTTGCAGGTTCAATTCCTGGTCAGGGCACATACCTGAGTTGTGGGTTCAGTCCCTGGTGGGGATCTATAAGGGAGGGAACCAATCGATGTCTACCTCTCTTTCCCTTCCTCTTTATCTAAAATCAATAAGCATATTCTTGGGTCAGGATTTTAACAAAAGATACATATTATTTTAAAATATGGGAGGAGCAAATACCAAAAGAAATTGCTAACAGGGTTAAAAGGGACTACTTTTAGTAAGTGGGACTGCCCAGTGAGGAGGTGTGAGATTGCCAAATGCTGTATTTGTCAGAACTTTAATATGATTTATATGATTTGACTTTCAAAAAAACTGAACTTTTTATTTTGAGGCAATTTTATATTCAAATGCAGTTCTAAGAAATAATAGAGAGGGACATCAATGGAAATGGCAGAGTAAGCAGCTCCAAAAGTCAAGTTATCCCTCTCATATTTGAAAGTTACAGGTAGTAAGTAGCCCTGAAGTAATAAGAAATATATAGTTGGGGGGCAAAGTAGGTTTACAGTTGTCCATATGGAAAATAATACAATAGCTAGTAAGTAATAATACAAGAATAAACTCTGCATTTCACATACTCACAACTGTAAACCTACTTTTGCCCCATCCTCTATTTGGTCTTTGGCGGCAGTTCCTGACACAGAGCTCCCTGTTTCTGACCCTTGGGCAGCAGCTGGGAAAGCAAGC